ATCTTTAGGCTTATTATTAGGCTTCTAATAAGAAGGCTCTAGGCTTAGCTATACTAATTAAAATAGATGCTAACTAGGTAAATAATAGGTAAGTAAGAAAATATTAGACTATTAAAGGCTAACTAGAAAAGAGACTACTAAAGAGTTAAAGCTAGGAACCTAGGATACTAGCTAGTCTAGGGAGGTGCTTTAGTTATTATTTACTACTAGTAGGTATATAGCTAGCTAGTTATTATTATTACTATACCATTTTAATACTTAGTCTAAGCTAGATTTAATAATACCTATGGTGTAGCTCCTACTATTCACCCCAGTGGTGTAAACCCATAGTACCTTTTTATAATTATAGTATATATATATTTAGCATTCCAAGTTTTCATAATTGGCCATTTGGCGCAATGGTAGCGCGTGCGCCTCCTACTGATGTGATATGTCAGCTGACATGATCATGTTATGGTGGTAGCGCAAGGTTGCGAGTTTGAGCCTCATGATAGTTGATTTTTTTGCGCCTTTAAGGCGGTCCTTTTGTCGTTTGACGTTCCGAGGGGGTGTGGGAGCGTGTGGGACGTGTACTGTGGTTGGCGCTGCGAAATGGCGGAGGGGAAGGTATGGCGAGGCACTTTCTGTTTTGGCAGTGACTGGCGCGGGAGCGGTGTGCTGGGAGGACGTGCAGTGAGCAGGGGATGGGGGGGGAAGATGGTGCCCTTATTATGGGTAGAGGAGTTATAGAGGAGCTAGGGATAGCTAATAAATTGCTAGCTAGAGGTCTACTATATTAAACTTAGGATAGATAGTCTTACTATACTTAGGATAGGGTATATACTAAGTTTATACTAATACTAAGGTAGGTGCTATAGTGAAAAGGTGCCATAGGTAATTAATATAGGTGGTTAGTTATATATATAGTTCTACCTATATATAACCTACCTATTAGATAGTAAATATTAATAGACTAGACTAGACTAGACTAGTATACTCTTTATTAGCCTATTTATAATCTCTAAGTAAAGAAACCGCGCCTCTAAGCCCTACTATAGGATATAGAAACTTACTACTCTCTAGTACCTAGGAGCCCTTTCTCCTTAGTACTTAACCTAGTATACTTACCCTACTATATACTATCAACCTAATTTAAACCTCTTATTCTATAAGGAAGCCATGCGCGTAAATGCCTATAATAACCTATTATCTCCTACCCTACATTACCCTACATCACCCTATACTACCTACTCTACTCTAACCTTGATCCTTAACTCCGTCTATCCATTAGTGCGCAAGCGCGCAGACAGTACAGGCCAATTAACAGCAATCAGTTACACAGAGGGAGCAGGCAGGTGGGTGGCTGGCTGGGCATCAAGATCGCATTAGCATTGAGTACCTACCTACCTACCTACCTACCTACCTACCTACTGCAGAGCCGCCAGACAAGGAAGACGGTGGTGGACGGGCGCCACATTGATGGACTATGGCGACCAAGAGAAAAAACCTTTTAAGGCTGAAATTGTCTAGCTATGGTATAGCAGAGTAAGCGGCAGCAGGACGCGGTACATAAAAGATAATGGATTAAGGGAGGGGAGGAAGTTCAAGGGCGCGGCGCGGCTATGTAATTACTGTATATGGCTAAGTAAGGAGTTTATGAGTAAGTGATAGGATAATCATAGTGGAGAGATATCCACAGACTGTGCTGCTCGTGCTGCTGGGGACGACGGACGGGCGGGCGGTGACGGCGTGGGTCGAGATGGAGATGGGGATGGAGAGGAGATGCGGAGGAGGGCGATACGAGGACGGATCGAGAGGGCGGTGGTGCTGTGGTTCGCGGCAGGCAGGGAGCGACGAGGTGGTAGGTAGGCGACGTGGGAGCTTGATTTGGGGAAGCGCATCGAGCGCCAGGCCAGGCCAGGCCAGGCCAGGCAGACGAAGGAGGGCGTCGTCGTCGTCGTCGTCGTCGACGGGCACTCAACTGCCAGAGAGAGAGGAGAAGAGAGGGAGGAGTGGTGGTGGTGGTGGTGGTGGTGGTGGTGGAGTAGCGGGTGGAGACGGAGGGCTGCGATCCCCCTGGCATTGGCATGCAACTCTCAAGCAGGCATGCCGGTCGCATTGCACGCACGCACGCACGCACGCACGCACGCACGTCGAGCTCGTCGACGACGGAAATTTGGAGGCTTGTTTTCGTCGCGGCGATGACGCATGGCGCGTTTCGTTTGATGATGACGACCCGACGCTGCAAATGAATCGTCTCTCTGCCATGTAGCCGAGCAGCATCTGCGACGGCCGACTTTGCGGTGTAACTCTTTACTCCCTCTGCTCCAACGCAAGGCCGCCAAGGCATCGGACGACGGCCGCCATGCCAAGCTTCGACGTGGAATGAATGAATGCACTTGAGGCACAGTCGAGGGCATTTGATTTTGTGTAGTGCTTCTTTGACCGGGGACAATACCATCGCTGTCTGTGCCCGTCGAATGCTCAACTCGTCTCTGCCGTCGGCAAGCAGGACAAAGCCGATCGAGGGCTCGGTGTTGGTCGTCGAAGATCAGTCTGCACATGACTACAGAGGGGACGCCCTAAAACTGCCACTGCATGCACGCCGATAAGAGCCAGCCAGATGCACTGATAGGGAGGCATGGAGAATAGGGATGGATGAACAGATGAATGGTCGACTATCCAAACAATCCTGGAGCCAAGGGGATACAGATACAGCAAACAGACGGGCGAGTTTGTTATATCTACAACGCCGCTCGCTCAACGTGTCCAATAGCAACTCGGTGCCATCCAACATTCTCTTCCCGCGATGCACTCACTGGTGGCCTGGCCTGGCCAGGGCGAGGGTCCGCCAGGAATGGAGCCGTCATGCGGATCAGCGAGTATGGACAGGACATGACAGGACGGCAAACAGAAAAGGACGCAGGAGACAGCAGATGCAGGGAAACGACAGACGGGGCGAAGATCAGTCCGGTCAAACAAAGACGGCAGCGCCTGAAATTATTCAGGACTCCCGTCGAGAGTAGGGGAGGGTAGTGTAGTAGTAGTAGTAGTAGTGGTGGTGAAGGGTACTACTATGCAGTCTGTGAGGTAGGTGGGTGCTGTGCTGACTCGGGGCGGCGCGCTGCTCTCTTCCGGCCACGGGCCCCGCGAGCTTACGCAAAGCTCCACCTCCACCCTCACCACCACCATATACCCACATACAGACCCCGTCCCAGTCGGACCCTTCAACTTGGCTCTTCTCCCGCTTCCTCTCCGCCGCCAGACTATTGTCTCTCTCTCACGATATCCACATCCAGATCCCTTCAACGCCAGACGCCCCCCCCCCCCCCCCCCCCCCTCCCCCCGAAGCCTCATCCCAACCGCATCCCACCACCTTGTCTCGGCATCCCACCCATCCACCTCATCTCATCCTCCCCTATCCACCTCTGCAGCCGTCTGCTTCAACCCTCCTCCAAACCCGCCGGATCTGGCCTGAATTCCCGCCATGGCATCGCTCTCCTCGTCGCGCCAGCGGTCCTCCGACTCGCTATCTACCCAGGCCTCGATGCAATCCGACAACTCGGCAAAACGAATCCGCCTGCAACCAGCCCACTTTGACGCCGACGATGCCCAGGGTCAGTACTCCATTCACCATTCAACCAAAGTCACTCGCGCACGTCAAATCCGCAACCTGAAAAAGAAAATTCAAAAAATCCGTGCCCCTTGAAGATCAAAATCACCCGCCAAATCACCCAAATCACGTGGCCTACCTGCGGACGAGACTAACATGGTGCCCAGTTTTGACCTGCCACACGCTCGAGTACAGCATGCGGTTAGCAGAGGAGCACGACTCGGCCAGGCTGGCCGAGATGGAGCAGGAGGACGACGCCGAGCTGCAGTCCAGCAGCGTGCGCTACGTCGTGGCATCCACCGCCCCGGCCGCACCACAGCCAGCAGACGCCGGCGCCGAGTCGACGAGGCCGCAGTCCCCCTTTCACGTAGAGAGCATCCAGCCGCGCGACCGCACGCGCGAGGAGTACGTCAACGCGCTCAGGCAGGGCTACAACCCGCTGATTGAGCTGCTGCTGCGCGACATTGCCCGCGGCTGCGACACGCTCGTCGGCTCAAAGGTGCCCTCGGTCAGCAAAATCTGCTACGACATTCTCACCTCGACCGAAAACAGCGTGCTACACGCCCTGCTCGACGGCAACCTGGCCTGGGACGCCGAGCACGACTCGGCCACCGTAGAAGCCATCGGCCGCCTGCGTGCCCAGGCCGCCTCGCAGCCGTGCATCTACCAGCGCGTCCTCGTCGACGAGCTGAACCAGTCCCCCAGCCCGACCGAGCTCTTTGACGTGATTGAAGCCCTGCGCCGCTACTCGCGCACCAGCGAGTGGGAGCTCGCCCTGTGCGTCGACACGTACAAGAGCCCGGACAAGTGGAACGAGAACCTGTCCAAGGCCGGGCGCCGCAAGTACCTGGCGTCGTACGAGAACGCCTACGCTACGCCGTCCGAGGCGCGCATCGCCGAGCTCGAAATGTTTTGCCAGAAGCTGCACTCGCGCCTCGACAAGACGCCGACGAGCGAGTGGGCCGAGCCGCTGCGCTTCCCGCTCGTCGACGTGGGCTACACGGTCAACTACGCGGCGCGCGAGGCGGCCAACGACGCCCACTCGTCGGCCAAGTTCCTCATGAACCTGGTCGAGGCCGTCGCCAACGCCCTGTTCCCCGGTCGCGGCTTCCGGGCCAAGCAGTTCCCCATCTTCCTCATCTTCGAGGCGCAGCAGGCCGTCATGGCGGACCTGGTCATGGGGGCGCTGTCGCAGGCGCTCCTGTCGACGGGCGGCGGCACGGCGTACTGGTCGACGGACCTGCTGCACGCGTCGGCCATGGCCGTCGACGACAAGAACTGGATGCGGTACGAGAAGTGGGCCGTCGACCACTCGCCGTACGTGGCCAACTGCCGCGCCGACGCGCCGCGCCAGAACGCCGAGCTGGACCGCATCAAGCGCATCATCGAGGCCAAGAAGCGCGAGATGCTGCTGCTCAAGCGCGAGTATAACGAGGGCCAGCTGCAGATGCGCCTGGCCGCCCGCGACATCACTCGCCGCGTCGCCCGCTGCAACCGCTACCAGTTCTGAAATGCGCCCGAGGAACCAGACGTATCCTTGGCCCTCCTCGCCCTCGTTGGCGAGTGAGGTATTCTGAACCGATTCAACTCGGCTCCCCCCTCCCCAAATCTGCTTCCATCCCGGCAACATTTCCTTCTTCCGATTATGGCCATCTCCTTCTCGGTCCTTGTGTTTTGTTTCCTTGTAGTCCGCACTCGGCGCGTTTCGACGGCGGGCCGGGCAGGGAGAGGTGTGCGGATGGACAGTAGTTCGGATGGGATTGGGGTACTGGAGTTGCGGGGTCGATTTTGAGGTGGGCCGGCGACGACCATGCCGTCCCAGGTTTCGAGAGGCGAGAGGCGAGAGAGGGCGAAGGTATGGCCGATGAGCTATAGGGCGTGTCTGGCGGTTGTACGAGCAGGCTG